CCAGATGCAAACAGGTTGGTTTCGAAGCAGCTTCGAAACGGTTGCATTGCACAAGTTAAACAAAACCCCGCGCAACGGAACCCAACAAACACACACAAAGAACCGTTTCTGTCAAATGCCACGCTGTGTCCTTGAGAGAGTTTTATCTAAGTTTAGGCATCCGGGAAACAGGGGATTGGGAAACTGAGATTTTCCTTACTTCTTCCCACCCCACAAGATTGTTAACGCCCAAGATTTCGGAGGAAAAAGAAAAAACCCCTCACCCGCGATTTCCTCAAATACGGAATTTTCCTCGTTTTCGTTCTCAAGAGATAACGACGGGATATGGGGGGCGGGGGTTGGGGAAGAAGGAGATTCCTAAAACCGTGAGAACCAAGGCCCGGAGCTTGCTCACCTCCTCCTCCTCCTCCTCTCCAGCCGAACTCTTTCCCCAGCCCTGCCTCTGGCTTGGACTGCGCCACAGAAGCGGCCCCGCGCAAGCGGTGGGGCATGAGGGCCGGCGAAGTTGAGCGATCCACCCTCTCCCCCCTCCTCCCCTTTTTCGCGATCCTCGCTCTGCGCGCCCGGCGATCCCGGCGCGCCTCCGACTTCCTGCCCCGCTTTTAAGGCCTCTGGCAAAAGTGCTTGTTACATTTCCTGGTAAAGGCCAGCTCGAAACCGGGCATCGCTGAACCGCGTGGAGAGGAAAAAAGCACCCGGCGGATTATTTTTGCACCCGCCGCTCCGCCGGACCCTCGAAGCGCGCGTCCCGGCCAAGTGGGCAGCGGCTCCGCCCCTTTTCTCGGTTGGTTGAGCCGCGCAAGAAAACACAAATCCTCGCTGCGCATCTCCAAACGCGCCCTTGTTTTGGTGCTATTAATAGCCTGCCCGTGGAGAAATTACGCGCTTGGAGACAAGGAGAAGCTATTAGGCGGCGGTGGCGCCTGTTGGCCACTAGGGGGCAACCCGGAGTCTCACTTTCAGCTCGCCAAACCCCTTCCTCTCGCCACTGAACGCTCAGTTTAAAGGAGCCGCGCCAGAATTCCCTTCTGTCATTTTTTTCTTGCGGGGGGGGGGGGGGGGGGGGGGGGGGGATGAGAGAAATGTATTTTCGACTCGCACCCTTTAGTGGAGACACCGGGTTACATATTTGAGATGAAAAATCCAAAAGAGGCAAGACTTTCAAATAATGTGATATTGAGAGTGGGAAACATCGAATTATGGCTGTTAGCTATTACAGAGTGGCTTATTAATGTATAATCGCACCAGACTTGTGAGACTAATCTTTTGCATCTGCTGACTGGGAATTATTATTATTCAATTATAACCACCTAATTGCCAGGAGAAAAAGTACACATTCAATAGTGTTAGCAATATTGTATTAAAATTCATTTTTAAGGAGAGGGGGAGAGGCTTGGAGAATTATAAACAAAATATCCCCACCCCACCCTTAAATTATCAAAAAGCCACCTTCCCTGCATCTTGATCTCCAAAAAGGAAAAGTTATTTCAAATATGAATATCTCTCGACAATCTATTGCTGCCAGTCAGATATCTTCCTTCCAGTGTTATCACTTTTTTGATCTGCCTAGAAAAAAAAAGCCAGCAATCCACAATTCATATCTTAATACCTTCCAAATACTAAAAAGAACACATGCTGAATTGGAAATTATGAGAATCGGAATCCAAAACAGGATGATGTCAGCACATGGACATATTTCCCAGGAGAACGGCCCATTAACCTTCGGACTTCACTTCCAAGTAAACATGTATTAGAACTGCATTGTTAGGGAATTTCAAGGGCTTTCTAGCTTGTACTATAGGTGTAGCATACAACTGGATTTTTACATGCCTCACTAAGCAGCAAGATACGTTACAAAGGATCTGAGCAGACCAGCCCTGCCAGATGCGCTGAGACTGATTTTTACAAGGAAGTGTATGCTGTATAAAGAATAAGATATTACAGTAATTTTGTACCCAGAAAGACTTTACTCAGAAGGAAGTCCTTACACGATCAAACAGGCTTTTCCCTAAGCATGGGCCTGAATAAATAAACTTTAACAATATAATAGTTATACATTCTGAGAACCTAAGTAAGATCTTCTACTGATGAAGTGTGGATAATTGAACAAAATAAAATGCTTGTTTTGAATGGTTTTTTTCCCCCTCTGCTGTGATATGAATAAAAAAAAACATGGCACTTATTAACAATGTCAATAGCACTGTGGAAAAAGTGATCAACAGGCTGTAGGGCATTTTCTCCTGTTTAGAGTTCTGTAACAACAGAATGCTGGAGGAAGTAATTCCTTCTCATTACCACCACTACAATTATGCCAGCTACATTTTGGGATAAAATACATATTTTACATGCAGATACTCTCAGCTTCTGTTTGCAGCCTCACCAGTTAAACTAACCAAAGATTCATATCAGAAAGGTTGTTGCCAAACAACATCAAAACAGTGCTGTGCAAGAGACCACTAGCCTGTCTCTGTAGTCCTAATGTCAGCCTTACATAACTCTAGGGGGGCTTCTGAACAGGATGAAGTAAGTCTATGCTTTCCTTGCTTAATCTAAAACACCACTGCATATGGTAAAAAAATATTTAAATTTTAGTTTTTTGTTCTTTTTAAATTTCATAAAATGTACCCACCCACATCCTCATCCCCTTCCATCAGGTACTTAATGTAAACCTAATAAAAGACAAAAAGAACGTAATTTTTTCTTTTTGTATTTTCATACTACAACCATTTTTGCATCCTAGATACCAGGACTCAAGACTGACCTGAAGACACACAAACAAAAAAGCTCATAGGTCATGCTTCTATTATTATTGTTATGGTTTCTCTCAAGGATTAATGGGAATAATATGGGATGTATGGGAATAATTTCCACGGCAACAATTTTCTTGGGAAGTAAGTATAGGACAATATTATTGATTTATCATAGTACTTTTCTATAGAGGTAATGGGTGAAAAGAGGTGAATGGGAAATCAGATGGAGTTCCCCCCCAAATTAGCCAACAAAATTCCAGTATCCTTTTGTAATTCTCTAAGTAAGCAAAAGAGCATAGGTTGGAAAATGGACAAAATAAATAATAATACTTAATTATAAATTATTATAAATCCATAATATTGTCCAATACATATTTTCCAGGAAAACAGGGGCTGTGGAGATTATTCCCATATGGCTATACATTAATCTTTGAAATAGTCAAATCTCACCAGGTCAGACTGCCAGTCATTTATGCCAGCCAAGAATTTTCACATTCCAAGTTATCCTTACTCTGTGTGCCATCTGCTCTGGATGTGTTCCATTACAACTCCATTCCCCATTCATCAGTTTGCTTTTGATGATTGAGGATGACAGAGACTGTAATCCTACATGCACGGAGAGTAGGAAAGCGTTAATTCCCAAAACACTTCCCAATGAGCTTATCCAGAAAAAGTGACTCTAGCATTGGGAAGCTGAAAAACAGAATGCACATATTTTTGATTTTCTAAATCAGGAATGAATATATTAGGGCTTTCTTAATGTCACAGAACTACAGCTTCAGTACTTCCCAGTAAACGCAGACAATAGCAAAGGGTAATAGAAACAATAATTCAGTAACATGCAGAGGTCCACAGAAATTTTCCATTGCTGCCCTCCTCACTTGTTTTGATTAAAGCTGCTTTTATAACTACCTCCTTAAACTATGATTTCCCCGATAAACTCAAATACATTAGAAGTGTATATGGGGAGGAGGGGGAGTTACATTCCTGACATTTTGGTCCTGGGAACAAGTAAACAAACAAGTAAGAATTTTAAAGTCAATTGGTAGATGAGCTTGAGCTAAAGCTGATTGTGCTTTTATTCAGGAAAAAGTGGAGATCAGCATTAAAAAAAAAAACAGAAGTGAAAACTAATCTCAGGGGGAACAGGCAGCAAAATAGAAGGAAACTGAATCACTAAGACACTTCACCCACCATCAAAAAGACAGAAACATACACATTGTGATTTTCTGCAAATTCAAATCACAGGACTAGCAGCTGGGATACACTGAACTTTTAGATTCCCATTTAAAATCCTTATCTAGTTTGGATTTCCCAGCTCAAGCAGCAGTGTGTGGTAGGATTATCCCTAGTTTTCTTTTAAGAGGGGCTTTTGCCTTCCTTTTGTTCTACATGTTCCATTTTATTACCATTACAAGCAACTTAAGGAGGAAACTGAATTGTTGGAGGAGATTAACAACTTTGGCACCTGCTCAAATGCACTTTCCCTTTTTCTTGTTTTGATCTCAGAGATGGCTGGGTTTCTCACTTTCAAGTTAGGCTGTTCTGCTAAACCAGAGGCTGAGCCAGAGTCATGATCATTCTGTAAAACACCTGAAACTGGACTGTAAAGCAATATAAGTTCTAGAGCCAGGAACTCTGCCAATAAACTGAACGGTTGATACTAAGGCACATTATTAAGGGCGCTCACACACACCTTAGTTTCCTTCTTTTTCTCCTTTTTCTACATTTGGGGGGGGGGGGGGGGGGGGGGGGGGGAAAAGGAAACCAGAAACCCTGGCTGCCAAGAGCACTCTGCTCAGCACTTCGCCCTTTTCTCCAAGCATCCATCTCCAACCAGCTTTTCTTATGCCTCCTAGTGAAGAAAGCGACGGGATTATCAACACGTCAAAATCCAGCCGACTAGAATGTGGACTTTTCCTTCTGCCTTTCAAACTCCTGTCTCCATCCTCATCCTCTCGGTGGGACGGGAAACCCGGCTCAACCGGAGAACTCGGGTTTGAGAAGGCTGTTTGGAAACTAACAGGGAAAGAAGGTTCCGATCCTTCTCGTGGGAATTGTTACATTCGGGCCAAAAGAAGCTGCTCCGGAATTATCCAGGTCCTCAGGTCGTCGTTCCGAGGAAGGAGAGAGGCCCCGCGCGGATTCTCGCCTAAACTCGGCTCCTTTCTCGGAGGCCTCCCAATTCCCGCTACGGCAATTCCAGTAACTCCGAGGGGGAGGGGGGAGGGGGAGGGGCTCTCGACTCACCTGAGCAGCTGGAGGGCGTCCGTAGACCGCGGGTCCTCCACTAACACGTAGACAGTCGCGGGGGGCGGCTCTGGGTTGGGGGGCCGCTCGCTCGTGTCATGGGACATCATTCCCCCCCCCGCCCCACCTCCACTGGAGCTCCCCGGAAAGCAATCGGGGACTCTCACTTCAGTTCACGGGACGAAAACGGGTCGGGACCCAAGGGCGGTGCAAACCCCGTTTGTGCAGCGCGGAGAAAACCCAGACGCAGCAAAGAGGGGACGGCGGCGGCTCCGGAGCGAGGCGCAGAAGAAATCAGTAGCAGCGTCGCCTCCTCCCAAAGCAAGAGGAAAACATCCAGCCGGAGGATTGCTTCATTTTCCGGCCCGGGAAGAGAGTTGGGGAGGGGGGTGTCAGCGGAGGAGGGGAACTCCACGGGAAATGACATCAGAGTGGGATCCACCCACTCATCTAGGAAAGGGGTAGGGCGGCGAGGGGCAGGATCTGTCTCGAGCGATAACGCTAAGCCTCCTTATCATAGCCCCGCGCAGAAAGAGCGAAGCAGGTAATCCGTTGAGTACAGTAAAGGGAGACCTGGTCGAAAATGGGCGGCTGGGTTAACCGCACCAACCGACCTTCAGACAGTACGCCGAGCCCTAAGCTAGCCCCACCTTGCGATCGGAGTCTGTGAGCCATAAACTCTCCAAGTATCTTTTATCCTAGCTTATTGCAGAATACGGCCATGCCGTGCCCGATTTGGTTATTTACTTCTTTATATACTACTGTCTGTTATTTTTACGAATAACTCAAGGAACAGCAATCATATCTAATACTCCTTCCTCCTCCTATTTTCCCCACAACAACAACAACCCTGTGAGGTGAGGTAGGCTAGCCTCAAGGTCATCCAGCCAGCTTTTAAGCCTAGAGTTCTTTCTTTAATGTTTAATGTCTGTCTTTGCAATTTAGAGGGTTCGGATTTATAAGGGGAAGGAGAAAAAATTCCCCACACTTTTGTAGTCCAGTGTGTTTTATGCATTTCTGATGTTACCTTGTTTCCCTGAAAATAAGACCCGGTCTTATTTTCTTTTGGGCCCCAAAATAAGGACCGCTCTTATTTTCGGGGGATGTCTTTCCCACTTACCTTAGGACCACCTTAGCCAGGCCTCCCACGGCCCGGTATCTGTCGCATCATAGCCTGAGTTCTGCAACCACTCGCAGTTCGATGCCACATGGCGCATCACACCGTCATTCACGATATACATGGATTCCTACATTGAATCATATCTACTTGTATCAAGACCACAGATATTTTTATTTAACTACTCCATCAATGTTCAACCTTTTCTTCTGAGACATTTGCTCAGTCTTCAGTGATTGCTGAATGCTGAAAATCCCCATCAACATTTTTATTCAAAGAAAGCTCAAGGATCTCAAGTATGCTACATTCAAATCCAAACTTTTGGCAAAGTGAGGGGTTCCTTGATGCTCTCTGAGCTTGGTTGTTTACTTGAAGATGTTTCGCTCGCCAAACTCTAATCAGGGTGTTGTGGTCCTCTGGTAGCCTGCGGAGTCGGCAGCAGAATCGGACAGTGGGGAAGAACATGAGCAAGTCTGGGGAGGACTCAGACGATGGTCCTGCGTCTGATACAGAGATGGGGCCAGGGCCATCTGGGAATTATGTGCTGACTCCGGAGCCTCCAGAATCTGACAGCAGCGAGGCAGAGGAACAAGGGGAGCCCATTCCCAGTGCGCATGTGCACAGAGCTGCCATAAGGGAAGAGCAGCTAAGACCCTTTGTACTTCGATTGGCTTTTTACAGTTAATTTGGCACTTTAGTTGTTGGCAACAATTCAAAGGAGACAAAGGTCGGTGCTTATCTCGAGAAACTGTTTGGGACTCAATACAGGCTGGAAATGAACATAATTCCCAGCATTGAAATAAAACAAGAGTTTTAAGTGTGTGCTTAATTACAGTCTCGGGAAGCCTTGGTCAGAAAACAGTGCTAGTAAGGAATGTGGTTTGCTCTCAGTTTATATTCTAATGGCTTGTCATGTTAGTGCAAGAAAACAACCAAGAGCACACACACACACACACACACATATTCATACATATAGATAACACACACACACGTTATGTGGTATGTATATATATGTGTGTGTGTATGTGTGTATATGTATATGTATATCTGGCAAACTTTCCAATGAATACATTTAGCATCAAGGTCATGACACTGCTAAAAGTCAGTTTGTGAAATTTTGCTGCAGCCACTGATCAAATGGTCAATTGTTTCATCTTTTTCACTACAAAGATGACATTTACTGTTGTTTATTATATGATGAATTTTTGCTTATCATGCACTTATTGGCAAAGTTATTCTTAGGCTGCTAAAAAGAAAGCATTCGACATTTCTCTCTTTTAACAGTCTTGATCTCAACTCCAAGTAGAGATTTTAATCAGCTTTTCCTTCAATACTCTTCAAGTATTGAGCATGCATTGGCGTGTTCTTCCAATTAACAAATTGGTTTTTGATTATACTAGTCTTTTCTATACTTTTTTATACTTGTTTTCAGAAGCTTTCTCCGATTGACTTCCTTCAACAAAGGATTCCTCACTTTTTTTAAAAAAAAAATATGCAAGCCATGTTTTTCTTCCTCCACAATTTGTTTCACCTGTAGGAAATCTCTGGTCCATTCCTCTTCCATTCCAAATCATCCCTTTTTGGGTGAAGAATATAGTATATTGTCTTTAGTTTTCTTGTTAGCTGATTCAAATTATCAGGTCTCATCTGGATCCAGTCAACTATTCCTGCCGTATATGGTATAATGGGGACTGCTCTGATTGCTTTAATGATCTTTCTAGCCTTTAGCTTTGATTTCAACATTCTTTGAACTTGTTTGATATACAATATTTGGCAGAAGTACTTTCTTTGACTTGGTTCTGTAGTAAATCAGAAGCTTCCAAAATTCTTAAATATTTGTATCTTTCTCTTGTGCTATTGCCTTTATCAAATCTTTCCATAATCTTCAATTATTTTGCCAGCCTTTATGATGTATAGCTACACATTTGTCAATGCCAAATTGCATTCTAGTATCTTTGCTGAATTATTTTGTGCTTTTTAGCAAAGAATCCATTTAAGCACTCATTTTTCAAATAATTTTAGGTCATCCATAAAGGTAAAATGTGATTTTTTTTTACTCCTTTTTATCCAGTTCACATCCACAATTTGTCTTGTTCAAAATTATTGTCAGTAACACCACCAATAGTAAAAAGAATTACATTACATTACAAAGGTAATGGATCACTTTGAAAAATTGCATGTCTAACCCTAACCCTAATTTTTCCTAAGACATTAGGAAATTAATAGACATTAGACATTAATATTATTTGCCAAAACTTCATTAAAGTATCCATAACCTATCAAATGTTTCTGCTGATTCCAAAATGTTCAAGACCTTTCTCAAAACAGCTATGTGTAACAGAATCAGATCAACTGATCAATCCATAACTTTGTTCGTTGTTTGTTCCCTCAAATTTTGGCAGCATCCTTTTTGTTTTATAGGGAATCAATCATTCCTTTTCCGATACCCATAAATTTTATTTGCCATTATGCTGATAAGTAGCTTGTATACTGTTGACAAGCAGGTTACAGGTCTGTAGTTCCCAGGCAAGTTTCCCTTCCTTTTTTAAAAAAAACAACAAATTTTATTAATTTTTAAAAAACAATACACAAACAAACAAAACATAAAATATAAGAACATAAGACATCTTATTTAAAAACAGCATAGTTCCAGATTATCACGTTTCCATACAAACACAATTTGATATACATATTTATCTTATATATTCAACTTTTTCCAACTTCTCTCTATTTCTCCCTTTCCTTCTATTCAATTATATTTCTTTTGTCTTGATTTCTATATCTTGTTATTCATTATATACTTCCATCTGTCTTGTTTACAATTTCATTGTTCTCTTCCAACATTCTTCTAGAATTTTCAAACATAGACAAACAAAACACAAAACATAAATACATAAAACTTCTTTTTGGAAAGCGGCTTAACCCCGGGTTACATCTTTTTATACAGACATAAATCAAATTCATGCTCACCTTATATACTATTTCATATCTTATTTAACATTCTATATTTTCTATATGTTTTCTCTCCTCTATTCACTCTCTTAATTCTATTTTATTTATTTCATCTCAATTTAAATCACTATACTTGCATCTTTTGTCTGTTCTTTTTCAATTATCTATTTATCTTTTCTAATACAATATTTCTCCTGTAATACTGGTTGAAGTATGATGCCTTTTTATCTTTCCCCTATATTTAACACTTAAAATAATACACACTTTCCATACTGATTCTGCTTAGTACATTCTAAATACTACATTTTAAAATAATGAAAAAAAGAGAAATTATGCTTATAATATAGTAAAAACAATGTTCAATAAACTCTATTGTTAAATCTTAGACATTTTATACATTCCCTTTAATGTACTGTTAACTCATATAATATTCCAATTTTCTAACTCTATTTCAAAAACTAATATCTACAATACAGTCTTATGTACTTTTGCAGAATCTTTTTTTTAAATTATATTTTACCCTTTATCTCTAAAAAAGACCTGTTTTTTAACATCTTGTTTTAAGCCTTTGTGACTTCTCTTCCCTTTTTCCCTTCCTTTCTTGTCAATTCTAGCCTTTTTACCCCCCATCTCTCAATCTCCACTCTCTTAGTCTCCCCTCTCTGTTGTATTCCTCTTTTCTGTTGCTTTCTGACATTGTATCGATTTTTCACCTTATTTTTCCCTTTCTTGGTTGCTTTTTTAAGTTCTGAATTCTCCATTTTCTTTCCCCTCTTTCTCTTGTTTTCCTCAACTAAGTTTATTTGTCCATTAAAGATGGCTTCTTCTTCTTCATCCCAACTTTCTTGTTGTTGTAATTCCTGATAGGTAGAAATCGCCATTTCTAAAAAGTGAAAAATAGATCCAGAAGAGCCCTTGCCTTCTTGTTCCTCTTCTTTTAACTTTTGGAATTCCATTTGCAATTCTTCAACAGATAATGCCATTATAAAAAAAAAAAAAATTTTAAACAACCCAAATGTTTTTAGTCTTTCAAGGAATAGTTTCCAAAAGTCACAAAGTCACAAAGCAATCCAAATCAGGACAAACTGTTTCATTTAGCACTTTCTTCTTTTTATATTTTCTCTTCCTGGGGTAGAATTCAATTACACAGTTCCAAAATAATTTTTTAGAAGTCTTATTGCCATTTATTTCTGGTCTTATAAGCTCCAAGCCATCTCCTCCAGTAAAATCTTAATATAAGTTCTTTACCTCTCCCTTCCCACTTATAGCAAAAGAATTTTAGTTTTTAATTCCAA